TGAACTCTCGATCCTCCTGCCACAGCCTCCCTAGGCACTGGGATTACAGGCGAGTGCCACCACACCTGGCCTGACTCCCTTTAGTTAAGGTCCAGTCCTTTGTCCACACGTGGGTCTTTCCCCGTCAGCCTCAAAAAAAATCAACCCTATCCTAATAGTATACACCAAGTATCCAAACACCTACCATGTCAAAATAAATAAATAAACAAACAAACAAACCAAAGAAAGACAGTAGCTTGTAAGAATAGAGAAAATGCTTCCCTACTTTTCTTTTTGTTTGCCTTTGTGGCCACCTTGGATTTTTTTCACTTCCCTAAGATAGACAGAACTTCAACACTGTCTTGAAGGAAATGGTGACAGGTAGGTCCAGCTGTTCTTTTATAACCTAGAAACATTCTATGTAAACTTTGTTTTATGTATGTAAGAAAACCTACATTATATCCATAAAATGAATAAACTCTTATCTGGAGCTTGGGTTATGAATCTGTATAACTGAAGAGATATGGATTAAAATGTGATAAACAAAAAGTTTCACAACCTCAGCCCTACTGACATTTTGGGTCAGATAATTCTTTGTTTATTATAGCTGCATCCCTGGCCTCTATCCACTAGATGTTTATAACGCAGGTGCAAGCACACACAAACATACCCTAGTTGGAACTATCAAAAATGTCTCCAAACATTGTCAAATGTATCCTGGGAGCCAAAAATCTTCCCTGGGTAAGGACTACAGCTTGCAAAATGGGTCATTTTATCTCTCTACCAATGGAAATATGTATTTTTCATGCATACAGGTTTTTTGAGGTTTAGAATGTATTAATATCATCTCTTGTAATGAAAATAATTTTGTTTGCAATGCCAGTGGCAAAGTAGAGAAAAGCTATGTGACAAGCAAAATCATATTCTGAAATAGGTAACATAAAGAACACTAAAAACACAGCTACATTCAGCAAAGATAAAAATATAAACATAGTATATGCATGCATTGACCCTTAAGTTATGAATATTTTCCCTATTTTTAAAATAACTTCAGATAACCCTCAGCAGAGTTTGGAACTGAAACTATCCAAAAATTTTACTCCAAACTAGTTATACATTTGGGAAAAAATATTTACCATACTATATATTTGGATACAATCTCACCATAAAAACTTTATAATTCAGTACCATTGTTTAAGAAAAAATGCTGGCAGGCTGCCTGTACTAACAATATTAAAATGTTGAATATATGTGTTTCTGTGAAGGTTAACAGACAATTTCCATTGTATCCCAAAAAAGGAATGAGAAAAACTGGTGAAGTTAGAACCTACTATCATAACAATGTTAATACCGGATACCAGATCCCTATTACCTTGACATCTACTTAGTAATGTGAATGATAATTATTCAGGAGGAAAATAAAGCTAAAATATATTTTGAGGCTTTGTAACCATTCTGATTAAATTTGCATTTGTGCCCACCTGCTGGAAATTACTTCAAATTTAAGTTACTCAAACACTATTCTTTTTCATGTACATATAATAGTTTCATTGAAAAAAAGCTATAGCTGCATTTTACTTTTTATTCCATTTTAGATATATATGACTGGACTGAATACATTTAAGTGTAACTGAATAACCAAAGGATAAAAACATTCTTTTCTAGCTCAGATAGGTCAATCTGTCATTGTAATAAAAAAAATGAATTCACACTTAAAAAAAATAGGTTAATGGAATAGAAATTTGTCTTCCTGCTTTCTGCTGCCCTCTCTCCTCCAGCCCACTGTGCCAGAAGACATTTCAAGTGCAATTCCCCTGAAAGCTGTAGATTTAATAGGCTAATGGGTGGTTACTACTCTTGTTACCAGGATGATTCTATTCCACCTCTATCTACAAAAATCTTTTTGTTGGTGGTGCTTCTACACAATTACCTGCCATTAAAGTGCATGTGTTGTGGTGGTGGTGGTGGGGCGGGGGGGGGGTGCGGGAATCCAGTGACATAGTCACTAGAAGAACAAGCTGGACTGATTTCTGTAACAATTTCCCAAGTATTTCTTCCCATTTTCAGAATTAAAAATCAGACAAAAATGCTTCTCTATAGTTTTGATGAAAAAATGAGCAATAAATTGTGAAATGCTAAGCCAAATGAACTCATTACTGTGTTACAAAATAATTTAACACACACCAATATATTAGCTGTGCAATCAAAAATATAGTGATATCACAATATATACAAACCCAATTGGCTTATGCTAATAAGTAATAAAACATAAAAGATTCCAAAGCATTGGGGTCTTTGAAGAAAAGCCAAATACCTTCACCACTCCCCAGAAATACCATTTCCTCAACCCTTCTGACATATATATAAATTCCCTAAGCACAAAGAAATCCAGAATTTATTTTTATTCTTTTATGAAGTTAGTTAAAAATTAATGAACAAGAAATTAAAGTGAAGGTGTTGTAATAAAGTTAGAATATTCTAACTGAAAAACAATTACAATGAAACTATTTACACTCCCATGGAATTATAGACATTTTTCAAGGGATATTTTGCAATACAATTTTTTAAACAATGTTTTCTTCTTCTTACTCTTGAGACTTAAACACTGAAGGTTTACTTCATTTTTTTAAAATACACTTATTAAAGTAAGATTTGACTTTCCCAGAAAAAGAGCTTTATCATTTAAAGTAGCGTGTTGACTGCTTAGATTTTTCTTCCAATACATCTGTGTAGGCCTCATCTTTCAACTAAGAGGATAAGTTTTCAATAATATGAAATTGACAGAAAATTGTGTTGGAATGGTAGTAGTATTTAATTCTGGGAACTGAACCAGTGAGACTTCACAGATACATAGATCTTTGTACAGAACTGGAAAAATATCAACAGTTTGTCCATGGGCTCTATGTTTTTCTATTTTTACAGTTCTTATCACCTTCGCCTCAAAATTAAATTAAAACTTCACAGAAATGAAAGCAGTAAGTTTCAATTCTTATCCTGAAAGAATTTTTTTTAATTAAAAAAAGTTACTTTCCTAGTTGTAGATACTTAAATAAACAAAAACTCTTAACTGTGAAATAACTTTAGGGGCTTCCCTACAAAAAATCCCCTCTGTAGCGGCTGGCTCAGACTTGACAAACTCGCTGAAGTGTGCAGATGTTGAAGTGGCTCTGGGTTACACTGGGGAAGAAAGAAGCACCAGACATTCCACAGCTGCCTCCAAGAGCTCCCTTCCCAGGGGCACAGTTGCAGGCTCTATCAAGCTCAATCACTTTGTACAGCAACTGGGGATCCCAGCCAGGGGCAAAGAAATCCCAGAGCAGCTTAAATTTCCCCCAGTACCACAGCAAGAAGTAACACTACTTAGAGTAACCAGTTATTTCCAACAATTATGTGGCCTTAGGCCAAAAAAGAATGAGAAAGAACAGCTGTTGTTAGAGAAGATGTTTCATAGTTTTATATTTCAAGCTACTTACAGGAGATCTTCCTAGGGTCTTTATTATGGAAAAAAACTATGAATAGTTGATCTTTATTCTTGATGGATTTTTTTTTTCTTCAGGTAGTAGGGAGAGAATAGTCAAGTTGAAGAATCATAGAATTTTACAGTTAATTCAATAATTATAATACAGTGACCATAGGGCTTTAAAGGGATGGAATGTATATGACAGTAATATCATTTCAAAGGTACTACACTCTTCCGTTTTACCTATCTCATGAGTTCTCTCAAATATTTTGAAGACTAAAATAACTATTAATGAAATGGTGTGACTAAAAATAAACAGCCAAAGAATATTCTTTGCTACATAAGGTAACTGATGCCATGGCAGATGTCATTTCCTTAGGATGACCAGAAAGGGAGAGCTATAATGAAAAGCTCCACCAAATATAGAAATATTCAAGCACTGTGCTAAATTACACTTACGCCTCCCAATGATATTATCCCCATTTTATAGATGAAGAAATTAACTTATAAGATCATTGAACCAATAAATGATACAGCCCAGAATTTAAATTTTTTTACTCTAAAGTCCATGATCTTGTTATTAGGATTTTACTGACTGTGTTGCAATGGCACTTATACGTTAATTCAGAACATCTTAAGTAATTTTCAAATCAATTTAAAAGGTGTGTATCATGTCATTCAATTGTTCTAGTCAAGAGAAAAATAGCTTCTCTACATGAGATATTAGTTAAATCTCACCTTTTGCTTATGATTCCTTTTTCTTCTCTACTACTGACTTTTTAATGGTCAGAAAAATGGCATTTCAACTTAGAGGGTTAATGCTAATAAATTCCCCAAATGTTGTTATATCCTAATAATCCTAAATTTCAGATGCCTATCTTTTTTGTTTTAGGTTGATTCTCAAAATTGTAAGTGGATTAGCCAGTAGGTCATTCTGTGTCACACAACAGATACTGAGGCATCTGAACACTACACCAGGCCTGAGAATTTACAGTAAGAAACCTTTCATTTCATATTGATGCTAAAAATATCAGTAAAGAAGACTTCAAGCCTCAAAAGGCCTGTGTTTATAGCTCATCAGCATTCCTTCAAAACAATGGGACACACTACAGCAAGGAGGAAGAAGAGGCAGAAGTTGATGACATATGGGGTGTGCATGGAACTTCTGGTTAATGGAAGTTCCAAGATGTATAAATAAAAAATGATGTGTGAGTTGGTGGAAAAAACTGTAAGGCAAGTCAATTTTTTAATTAAAAAATTATGTAGCATAAACAATGCTAATGAGCCAAAAGTCCTAAGAGATTAGGACTGTATCTGCTTCATTTTAATGTTCCATTCACTTTTTGTAAGCAAACATCCACTCGCTTGAAATACCTCAAGCAGAACCCTTTATGTAAATTAGGGTTTTGAAGATTTTCTTTGTCCTTGTTCCTAATAGCTCACCATTTTCTACTCAAGTGTCAACTTGATGACAAATTACACACACACACACACACACACACACACACACATGTGCAAAAAGAGCCCAAATATCTTAAATGAATCACCAGATAATAAATACCTGGAAGTTCCTCATAAATTTCATCGTCTATTGGCTGCCCACTTGTTGGTGGGTTGCTGATTGGTAGAGGATGCTCAACGTCATCATATAATTCTCCTTTTTCATCATAGTCCTCAGGAATAATATCAGATTCCATATCTAAAAAATGTTTCACGAAGCAAATTTTAAAGGGATGCAAAAGAGGCTTTATAAATTAAATTTCCTAAATAAACACAATCCTAAAAAGTGACAGTAATATTTTATGCATACTCTTCTTCATTTAAAACATTTTTCAAGTTGATCATTTTGTACATATGTGATTTTAAAGTTGCCAACTGGCACTTATGGAAAAGATGTTTTTATATATCTAAAGCAAATAGTCTATATATTAAACCAGTCATGTTCCCTTTATCATTCTCATTGAAGTCAATAAGCTTTTGTATATGAAAACCAAAACTACTCAGTTTTTTAGTATTTTAAGACCAGGATTACATGTTCAATTGATGCTCTTACCTTGTAATACAAATTTCAGCTGCTGTACCCATTCCTCAGCATCTTTGGGAGAAGCTGCTGTAAACTAATAAAAGAACCAACAATAAGAACACAAATCACCACCGTAGAAATGAAAAGTATGTCGCATTCTTATCATTTCTTTAAGACCATTAGTAATTCTTTTCATGTCTAGTGGTACTTTTCTTGCAAGGATGCTTCTTATAATGTACAGTTAATTTTGACAAATTTACGTAATTGAAGCAGAGGATGATGGATTTGAAACTCTGATCAGCAGCTGGCAGCTGTGCAGGAAAAAAAGCTGCTTCTCTTCATCAATGTCAAAGACAGAACTGATGAACAAAATTTGCCCTTGACAATTAGAAGACACCCATGAATTTCTTTAGACTGCTGGGTATAGTTTTCTTAAAAATGTTCTTGTCAGATTCCAACACACTACCTGACAACTTAATTAACTGGCTTTCAACTGCAATCTCAGATATTTAAAACTTATTAAACATACATTCCATATTGATGCCTAGCTGATAGCTCTTGAATTGCAGAGCTGATACATGTCTTTATCTTCATTTTCTCCCACACCCCTAAGCAATACAATATGCATTACCACTCTAATATTTTTCCTTTGATAATTTCACTCTTTCTGCTATGTAATTCTTTTAGGAAATCATACAGCTCTATTAAAATAAGATATAAAATGCTACATGTAAAGCAATTGATAAATTATATATTCACTTCCTCCTTTTCAAGAAGATATCACTTGAAGTAATCTGAATTTTTTAAAATGTATTTTCTCTTATATGAATGTCCAATGTACAAAAACCAGTATTTTTTTATTATTACTAACATGTTAGTGAGCGCTGTTTTAACAAACTGTTAATGTCTCTATAAATGAAACTAGAACATCTTATCAACTTAATTTCAAGGCAACACAAAAACTCCAACCTGATAGATCCGTTTATCAGGAGCAGAGATTTCAAAGCAGCAATCTTTCTTTGCATCCTTCCTAAGAGTGTTATTCATTCTGACGTCATAGCCATCTATTGCAAATTCACCTTTCTGTTGTTTGTCTGTTGAAGATAAAACCACAGTTAGAATTTCACTTACTACAGCAAATATAAATGTTCAGTCAATTTTCTTTTATATAGATTTTCTTTGTCAACTCTTAGAAGAGAGTAATTTTGGTCATATTGTTTTAGTAATGTAATGCTTAAATAACATTTCTACATATCATTTTTAATTCTAAAATACAGATATACTGGAGACAATTGCATCTAAAAAGGATATCTATGGGAACCAGAGATTGTGGTCTTGTTCATGAAGTGTGGATATAAGACCCTTGTATATAGGGAATATATAAGAACTAGAACTTAGAACTTGCTAGACAAACCCACTACCAACTCTGGCTCTTTCAGATTTAGAAAGTCAATGGAAAACTTGTCTAGTTGAAACTTTCTGGGTTTCATTAACCATTACCTCCTGTTACCAACCCCTTCCCACCATCAACATCAAAACAAAATGTTTTCTTAAAAAACAAAACTTGGTACAAATGTAGCTCTAAATTTTAAATGCAAAGCAAAACAAAACTAATTACAAAAAAGCTATAATGTGAAAACAAAATACTTGGCTGGAGAAGGGTGGAAAAGTTTATAAGTCATAACAAAAATTGGGATTTATTAACCAGTCAATGCTAAACTAGTAGAGGCACAATTGAATCTAATGATAAATATTGAAAGAAAAGATGGTTGGAACTTTGGTCAGATATTATTTTAAAGACAAAATAGAAATGCAACAAAGAGTTTAGTACTCTAAAAATGAGAATAAAATTAGCTTTCATACCTCACTTGGTTATGTCATTTTGATAGAAAAGCTGTATAGTTCTAGGTTATTTCTCAGATAAACACATGGTACTCAAAATATGAGTAGGGGACAAACTGTCTATTGTACTAGGCTCTGAGAAAATAGAGAATGATCTCATAACATGGGATAAAGGGGTCTCTCAGTTCAGTGCATCAAGGATGGAAATATATATGTGTGTGTATGTGTATCTCCTTTCCTTAAATAAACTAATTTAATTCCTGAAGTAACATATATTTTAAAAGATCATGAAGAGCCTATCATATTCAAACTGTTGAATAAAAAGAAATATGATTTAGAAATTCTTGACTTAAATCTGGACAATCTAATTGTATTTAGTCATAATTTATATATCTGAAAGACTAAAAAATTCAATTAAAAAATTTGAAGTTTGTCTACAATTAACTCTTTGAAGTTCACAAACTATACTTTTAAATTATAGCATTCCTTGAAGTGCATATTGATATGTTTCTATGATCAGGAAAGTTTGGGGAGATTTTTGCTGAATTAAACAAAGTTAAAAAGTTTTGTGGGGGGTGAGTTCAGATTAGATCAACATGTCCTATTTGGGATCTTTAGTAGATTTACATACTGACTGAATTTCTAAGAAAAATGTTTAGTATGCATCATTTCCAAAAATCATTCATCTATGGAACCCTTTTTAACAGAATATTTTATGGATCCAGTATGCCCAAAATCTACTCTGCAAAATATTTAACCAGAGAAACATTGAGGGGAAAATATTAAAATAATAAATTGTTAAGAATGGTTGGTTCTAAAATTCTCTTTTAAAAAACTAACTAAAGCATTCATTCTCTCATTCAACAAATTTATACTAAGCACTTTAAACAAGCCAGGTAGCATTATAACACTTTATCAGACATTTCTTACCTTCCCACTGAAATAGACACATACACACACACACACTCACACACACACACACACACACACAATCTCTCTCTCTCTCTCTCTCTCTCTCTCTCAACAAACAGTCAATGATCCACTAGACTGCAAAAGAAATTTAATTTCCCCATTACAAAAATGAAAATAATCTGAGGTAATATATCAAAACCACCCAGGACAATTTTGAAAGATTCCTTTATGCCCACCCCACCCCACTCCATCAAGAAAACGTGTTTTCAAGGAGCAGATATGGAGCAAGTCACTCTCCCCTCTGCCACACAAAGGTTCCATCTCTTCAGTTGCTAGGTCCATCTGATCTAAAGCCTGTGCTTTTTTCCTCTACTTTAGGTCTAAAATTCTTATCAGTGTAACACATGAAAGTGGAAATGCATAAGGAGTGGTAGTCTACATTTGGATACGTAAAGCTGGTTCTACAAAGACTGAGTTTAGAAAAGCCACGGGGAACAGGAGACCTTCCTGCACTAGATTTTTAGGAAGCAATAAGATCAGGTGACCCTGATTTATACTAGCAGATACACCTTATACAAAATTCCCAGGAACACATTATAGGGCCATGCAGCAGATCTTCCATTAAAGTCTAAGAGGAGAACCAGAGAGAGACCATGAACGCTATTTATTATAAACATTACAGATTATACAGATAGGCCATTGTCCCAGGATAGGTAAAAGAAGAAAAGCAAACTAGCAGACAGGTGTCAGAAAGATATAATACAAAAAAATGTAAGATTTTGAGATGTAGAAATTATAAATAAAGTAGGAGAATCAAAGTAAACTTTAGCCATTGTTTAACATGTTTGTTTCTTTTGGGGGTTTTTTGTTTGTTTTTTTTATTTTATAGTACAATGCATTTTGACATACTGTACACAAATGGAGCACAATTCTCATTCCTCTGGCTGTACATGGTGCAGAGTCACTCCAGTAGTGTAAACACACATGTATATAGGGTAATAATGTCTGTCTCATTCTACTGTCCTTCCCATCCCAATAGCCCTAACCTTCCCCTCACTTGCTTTACATCTTTTATAAAAGAAAAAATTCACATACAAGTTACAAAAGAGATAAAAGATGAAGTGACATAACATAAATAAAAAGGGCTGAGACAGGTAGAGATTGAAGTGAAGTCAGCAAAGCAAGGGAAAAACTATATAAAGGAATTGGAAAATGCAGTAGATAAATAAATGATGTATTAGAAGTGGAGTGATAAAAAGTAAAATTGACATTGCTGAAAACCAGATCATGTATACCTTGAAAAGCTCACTTAGCCTGTAGGAAAACAAGTAAAAGAGGATAGGGAGAAAAGGTAATATGATAGACATGGAGGACTGACAAAAATACAACATAAGGAAAAAGAGTGTTCTGGAAGATGAGTAACAAAACAGTGCCAATAATCAGACGTAACAGAAGAAAACTTCATTCTGCCAAAGACAGACCCAAGTCTGCAGAACAAAAGATGATGTTGTTTAACCAAGTGAAAGTAATAAAAAAGAAACTAATACTTAAACCTACTTGCTTGATTGGGGATAAAGAATCATATGAACAGCCAAGTGGGGTAGGGTGTGGGACCAGAAATGTTAAACAGAAGGAAATTCCTAACTCTTCCTCAATAGATTTGTAAAAGCATATTCATAAAGTAGCTTAGAGAGTCAAGGGTCCTATGTTTTTTCTCATATGTGTAAGGTAGAGAGGAAAAAGGAAAAGAAAAATGGGGGAGGGAATCTCATTAAAATAGAAGGGAGATCAGTAGAGTAGAAGAAAAAAGGGACCAGGAAGAGGCAGGAAGGGAGTGAAAGGGGAAGTACTGGGGAATGAGATTGGCCAAATCATACTGTTATAGCATATGCATGTATGAATACAAAGCAAAAAATCCCACCATTATGTATAATTATATTGCACCAATAAAACTATGAAAAAAGCATACAGTATGCAAATGTGAAAAAATAAAAATAAAAATAAATAAAGTAGCCATATTTCCCATTAGTCAACATGGTACAAGAAGTTCAAGGCATAAAATGGGAGACACGGCTATAATAAGACCTGCTCTTCTCCCTCACATCAGCTTCACTTCTGGGCAGAGAAAATTTCAACATTATATGATTATCCACAAAAATTTATATATACAGGTTAGTTCCAAGGGATTTTCTGAGATTGTTTCAAGAACATCTGTTGATTTGACACAGATTGTTAAAACCAGTTAAATTCCAACTGAATAGGAAACAAGGTATCTAGGTTCATTTACCTATAACTGTGAAAGACTAATAAAATAATTTATCTTAGTGAACTTCACACACAGCAGAAGCTTATTCCCTTAAGTGCCAAAACTTTTAAAAGTTTTAGTCATTGTGATGGAAATCTTTCTAAAATATATACTTCCTTAACTTCTCAAAATACGTGTTTTAAATGTAATTCAATGTTTCCTTGACAATCTAGCAGTTTCATTTTGAGTATTAGTTTTTATAGTATGCTATAACACACTGATGTCTGCCAGATGTTTGAGCTGTTGGCCCCCCTATTAAATTTTCCTTGGCTTCTACTTCACATTTCAACTTTGCCTCTATCCTATTGCTCAAGCTCAATGTCTACAGAGCTGGAGGCTGCCAGGAGAAACTAGAATGAAATCCATTACGTCAGTAACTTAATTTTACACAATTCTAATTCAGTATGTTCCAAGGTAAAACCAGTTGGCTCCAATCTCCTCCAAAACATAATACACGAGGCTAATGACAAAAGATTTCCTTCTACTTGTCCACTGTCTTTTAGGTTTACAGCTGCATTATGGATTTTTTAAGCTTCCAAAAAGACAACGCACATTTACCAAGCTCCTTTCATATGTCAGGATCTTAATATAATACATCTCATATGTGCCTTGTGACAGAAGGTATATATTATATCCCAAACACTGATGGGAAAACAAACCTTAACTTAACCAACTTATAGTCAAACAAATGGTTAAGTGGTAAGAACTAGGACTCTTAGCAACTGTGATACTAACCATTTCACATGGTTTCCTAGAGAGGTGTTTCCCAAAGTATATTTCAAGAAATCACTTATCTTGAATGCCTGCTAAAAATGCAGAAAGGGCTACCACTCTGCACTTGCTATACAGGAATCTCTAAGGGTGGGTACAAGAAACCAAATTTTAGCAAGCATTCCAAGTGATTTTGATACTAAGATGTGAAAAACCACTGTCCTAGACAGAATACATGATTTATGAAGTCACATAAAGAAAATAAGTATTATCGTACATTTCTTCCTATAACTTGGGTCAAACTTTCTCAGCTTCCTTTATGGG